GATAAATGAACTTATGTAAGTTGCTGAAGTAGGTGGATAAAGTAACTTATGTAAGTTGCTGAAGTAGGTGGATAAAGTAACTTATGTAAGTTGCTGAAGTAGGTGGATAAAGTAACTTATGTAAGTTGTTGAAGTAGGTGGATAAAGTAACTTATGTAAGTTGGTGAAGTAGGTGGATAAAGTAACTTATGTAAGTTGCTGAAGTAGGTGGATAAAGTCATTTCTATAAGTTGCTGAAGTAGGTGGACAACTTACATAAGTTACTTTATCCACCTACTTCAGCTACTTACAGAAATGATTTATTGGACTGTCTTGTAGCTTTATAGAACATATTACTCAGTATTGGACTGTCTTGTAGCTTTATAGAACATATTACTCAGTATTGGACTGTCTTGTAGTTTTATAGAACATATTACTCAGTATTGGACTGTCTTGTAGTTTTATAAAACATATTACTCAGTATTGGACTGTCTTGCAGCTTAACATAACACTGTACTTGATTGTCAGGATCCTCTAATCTTCTTAAGGAGTGACATTTTTTTTTGCAAACAGTACAAGTTCGCCCATATATGACAGTAAATGAAATCTGCGTGTTTAAGATAGTCATTTATGGTATTATTTACTACTAGCTGGAGTACCCGTCCCCTGGACGGAAGCTATCTAAATTCCTGATTTGTGAAAGGTAGGACATGAAATTTTGCTTCTCTTATATATAACTGTAAAATGATGCTCATAATACCGCAAAACTGGACATTTGTATGTACTCCACACCAATTTTGGTGAAGATCCATCCACACCGTGCGAAGTACTTACATGGATATATAACAGACAGTACTATTATACTTATATACATATCGATGATAAGACAGTTATTCATGATGAGCCTTTTGACGTTGACGTATTATTTACATAGGAATCCATTAGGAGGATCTGGATTAGCTTTTTTAAATAACAGAGGGTTCAACTTGCAAAGCCGTAAGTGTTTTTATGATAAACTTCACACTAGACTATACTACTGTCATTAAGAATTATGAAAACATAATGTGGGAAACAACACTAAATTTATTTTAAAAATTATTTATTAAAAATAATACAAAAGGACGAGTATCGGTCACATAAAATTCTGACGAAAAAAGCCAGGCGAGATTTAATAAAAATCTTACGTGTGATGTCAGTGATTTTCATACTTGAATAACAGACGTATGCCACTTTAATAACATAAGGAAGTAAATCTGTGATTTCTCTGTTGTTCTGAAATATGTTTATTGTTTTTTAAGAAAAAAAAGGTAATTATTTCATAATTTTCCCCCACGGAAATAAATGATGTCTCCTGTAAATAGCTAACAGGTGCTATAAAGATACTGTTTATATTATGTAATTTAAAAAGTCGGAATTGTCTTTAGCGCTTACAGAATCGACTTTAGCCGTTTACAAAATCGACTTTGCTAATCACAAAATTGACCTTAGCCACTAACAGAATTCACTTTATCCACCTACTTCAGTTAATTACAGAAATGACTTTATCCACCTACTTTCGCTACTTACAGAAATGACTTTATCCACCTACTTCAGCAACTTACATAAGTTACTTTATCCACCTACTTCAGCAACTTACATAAGTTACTTTATCCACCTACTTCAGCTTTATAGAACATATTACTCAGTATTGGACTGTCTTGTAGCTTTATAGAACATATTATTCAGTATTGGACTGTCTTGTAGCTTTATAGAACATATTACTCAGTACTACAAGACAGTCCAATACTGAGTAATATGTTCTATAAAGCTACAAGACAGTCCAATACTGAGTAATATGTTCTATAAAGCGACAAGACAGTCCAATACTGAGTAATATGTTCTATAAAGCGACAAGACAGTCCAATACTGAGTAATATGTTCTATAAAGCTACAAGACAGCCCAATACTGGGTAATATGTTCTATAAAGCTACAAGACAGCCCAATACTGGGTAATATGTTCTATAAAACTACAAGACAGTCCAGTACTGAGTAATATGTTCTATAAAGCTACAAGACAGTCCAATACTAAGCAATATGTTCTATAAAGCTAACAGACAGTCCAATACTAAGCAATATGTTCTATAAAGCTAACAGACAGTCCAAT